GCAAAATGCCAGGAGCGCCGCGGTCTACACGCGTTGCGCGGACGCTGTAGGAATAGATGCGACCGGCAGTCAAAAGCATGCGCATCGATCGCGTCCAGTGCGCGACCGAAGCGCTACCGTCGCGAACTTTGAACGCTGCCTGAGAAAGTGAATTCCCTCGTTTGGGTGGAGCACACCTTTCAGATTACTGTTAACAAAGCATCTGGGTGCACCCTTTTCTCAAATAACGCGTCACCGCGTCCACCATAATTCAGTCGCTAAGCAACCGTCGTTCATACAAACAACGAAAAGAGCAAAAAGGGTTCGTCTGGATTCCAGTAAGATTACTAGTATGAAGGTGCTGCTCAGGAGATTACAGTTAGAAATCCGACGACAAGCAGGCATTATTTCGGGACGCGCAGCCGTTTACAGCTAGTGGGCTTACTGTAGCACTTGCGCATCAAAAGAATAGGTTCTAGCGCACATGCCGTGCACGGGATGCCATTCATAGTGCCGCTTTAGCTTCGCACCCGCATCTCAGTTGTCCTCCTCCTCACCGATAAGCATGGTCCGAGCAGGAAGATCGCCACGCACTGGTCGAACAAAAGCGAAGCAAGAAGTATTTCCTGTTGCGCTATTTGTACCAGAATTTGATCACGTTTGGTCCACGGCAATTTAGCTTCACCTCATTGCCTCTCACTCATCTTTGAGTGGGTTTCTGCTCGGAAATATTGACTGCAACAGCAAGATCCTAAACATATATTTGTTGAAACGCTCTAGTTTCCCGTCAGAACCTTGTAAAACAGGCGATGCAGAATGGCTCGAGTGGCTCCTGCCAAAAGCAAGTGTCTCCGCCCCACTGGTGTTCATCGTTTTGATCTTCTGTATGTTCTCCAAAAAGTCTTGTCTGGCCGCTCGCTCAAAATTCGAAAGGACCTTCACCCCAACTCGTGACAAGGAGGGCTTTATTGCAGACGTTCTCGACGGTGCCGTATGCATTTTCCTTGACCGGAACGCCAACTAGCAAATACGCTTTTTCAACCACGTTATTCACGATGCTTTCGACGACTAGTCGCGAAATGTGCCTTTAACAATGGCCCAAAGATATCAGCGATTCACGCGTTATTTCGCGGACAGGATGCACACTCATGATCCACGGAAACGATAGGGCGGGTGACGCGGCGGTATACATATGGACTAAGCAGGGCGGCTGTGTTCGAACAATGGTCCATCCGCCATTTGTGAGGAAATCTGCTTTGGCGATCCAAGCCATCCCCCCTACGCTCTCGTCAATTAATGCGCGTTATAGGCAGTCATGTATCATCTGACTCGCATCTCACAGGGTACAGATGGATAGCGATAATGTCGGGTGAGTACGCCCCTCCCAATCAGCTTCGCCGACTGACGAGCTAGGTATATAGTCGGCGAAAAAGTCGTCGAGCGGGAGGGGGGGGGATACAATAACTATGCAACGTATTATCCGTGGTTGCATCAACACCACAAAAATTAATACGAATTAATACGACCCCCTTTTTCCACAAGAAAAAATCAACTATCAAAATAAATTTGTCTTACCCCAAATACGACCCCCTCCCCAAACAGCGGAAAAGTACGACCCCCCCTTGTGTTTCACACAACGATGCTGGCCGCGTGAGTCGGTGCATGATCAGGTATACAACTAGTTGACAACATTACGCGTGCAACTGCGGCATTTCCACCGTGAATGTGCGATGGTTGCATGTTTCGGAGCTGGTCGGACTTGGTGTGAATGTCGCGCTTTGGCCCACCATCGGGTGGCGTGCACAGCCACAAACCTTAATTGTCAAACGTACATTTCACGTCCAGCCGAAGTCAGTCGTCTTCGCGTTTCGGTCATTGGCGATTGATATGCGGTTCCTTCAAGATATATTGGAGCAGAATTAAGTTCTTCTATTACAGAAGAACTTAATTGTCAATATCATCTGACAGGAATCCACATTCAATCGATCAACGCACGCCGCGCAATGACCGCGACGCGAGACGACTGACTTCGCTGGCGTGAAATGTACGTTTGACAATTAAGGTCTTGCGCCTTCAGACTTCGCGACGGCAGCGCCTCGGTCGCGCATTAGGCGCGATCGATGGGCATGCTTTCAATTGCATCGATCGCGTCGGAGCACTCCGCGCAAACCTGAATGCTGCCCGAAGCTTCTTCTCTTCACACAATCATCGCTACCTCTTTCTCCACTTGCGTGCGTGCGACTGAAATGCGCCGAATTTCTCTCCTTTGAATGCACCTACCAAGTGTTGATTGATAACGGCGTTGTGGCCGCCTTCATTGATAATCGGCGCCGTCCAGGAGATTTCTAGTGAGAGGTTTGTTTGTGTCCGAGCCCACCAAACTATGTCCGTTGGAGCAGGCAACCAGTTCAAAGCTGAAAACAACTTCGTGTAACTTTTCAGTAGCAGAGAACATGTCAACGCACTCCAACTTGATTCTTGCTCCAGAATTGTATAGGTTAATTTTATGGAATACTAAGAGTCACCCTCTGATAATTCAAAGCAGAGAGCGTGCAGGGCGTGGCAGTGTCATACTTCGCGGCAAAGTCTACCACCCCACCAGTGTCTCCCAGCGTCCACCAGCGACGCGAGGGATTAGGACGGTAAAGTGTAGTTACGGTGTGGTCGCAGACGCCACATTCAATACGCCTAATCTAGCTGTCTCCCCTCCTACTTGCCCCATTTACTATAGCCAGCAGTCTCTACCCCTCTACCTTTGTGCGCATACTCTCTTACTCCTGGTCGCTGATGAACGATTAGACTGTAGATCGATATCCATACTTTCTTGCTCCCCCTAGAAGTTGAAGGTTGCTGGCACGCTGGTGGACGCTGGTAAGCGCTGGTAGATGTTATACTACTAGACTGATATCTATACTTCCCTAGTCGCTGATGTAAGGGACGCTCGAGACGCTGATAGTCCCTGGTGGACGCTGCCGCAAAATACGAACGCAGCCCCAATGTTAACGTGTTTCACTGACATTACTGCCCAACTGTCTAACTGTTTTCACCGAAATATGAAGCACTCACATGCCAGACTTGTAGTGAAGACATTGCTAGCATACCAAAGGCTGACGTCTCCCTGAAAACGTCACGTTGACCGGTTTTTCATGAACAGCGAAGTCGACTGTCCATAAATTATCCTATGTAAATAATAACTCACACCGAATGCCTCTACAGAGGCTCTATAGGTAGTGTTTCCCATAAGGTTCTTGAACGTGTATGAGCGCTGTTTCGTGCCCACATTTACCGATACCGACGACTTTGAAAGTTGATGGGAGCCTTGAAAGAGGTAGTTCTCTATGCTGTAGAGTCGAACCATTAGCTACTACATAACTTCGTTTCATTTCTTGCAGCCGGTAAGTGTGGAAATGTTCCATCTCTTGTAAAGTCATCAAAGGAATATGGAAGAATCCGTGAAGGGAGGCGGTGTCATGAACTCTTAGCCCACAAAATGTTGTGAACTCCAACTTCACAGTAAAGATGGCTCTGAGTTCAACCCAGAGGGTGGTTGTCGCTGCGAGAGCTCTGCGTTACCACGCTCACCATCCATTCCCCTGTTAGAAAACAACTCGGTCGTTTCAGTTGCTTCCGACCGATGAGTCCTGAACATTTCGCTCTCGTCCTGGACCTTGCTTTCTGTGCTATTCCATTCGGCGGAGATCT